GTTACACCGCACAGCTCAGGTGTTACAGCGCACAGCTCAGGTGTTACAGCGCACAGCTCAGGTGTTACAGCGCACAGCTCAGGTGTTACACCGCACAGCTCAGGTGTTACACCGCACAACTCAGGTGTTACAGCGCACAGCTCAGGTGTTACACCGCACAACTCAGGTGTTACAGCGCACAACTCAGGTGTTACACCGCACAGCTCAGGTGTTACACCGCACAACTCAGGTGTTACAGCGCACAACTCAGGTCAACTCAGGTGTTACACCGCACAGCTCAGGTGTTACAGCGCACAGCTCAGGTGTTACAGCGCACAGCTCAGGTGTTACAGCGCACAGCTCAGGTGTTACACCGCACAGCTCAGGTGTTACAGCGCACAGCTCAGGTGTTACACCGCACAGCTCAGGTGTTACAGCGCACAGCTCAGGTGTTACACCGCACAGCTCAGGTGTTACAGCGCACAGCTCAGGTGTTACACCGCACAGCTCAGGTGTTACACCGCACAGCTCAGGTGTTACAGCGCACAGCTCAGGTGTTACAGCGCACAGCTCAGGTGTTACAGCGCACAGCTCAGGTGTTACAGCGCACAGCTCAGGTGTTACAGCGCACAGCTCAGGTGTTACAGCGCACAGCTCAGGTGTTACACCGCACAGCTCAGGTGTTACAGCGCACAGCTCAGGTGTTACAGCGCACAGCTCAGGTGTTACAGCGCACAGCTCAGGTGTTACAGCGCACAGCTCAGGTGTTACAGCGCACAGCTCAGGTGTTACACCGCACAGCTCAGGTGTTACACCGCACAGCTCAGGTGTTACAGCGCACAGCTCAGGTGTTACACCGCACAGCTCAGGTGTTACAGCGCACAGCTCAGGTGTTACAGCGCACAGCTCAGGTGTTACAGCGCACAGCTCAGGTGTTACAGCGCACAGCTCAGGTGTTACACCGCACAGCTCAGGTGTTACAGCGCACAGCTCAGGTGTTACAGCGCACAGCTCAGGTGTTACAGCGCACAGCTCAGGTGTTACAGCGCACAGCTCAGGTGTTACAGCGCACCGTAAGGCGGTCCCGTGGGGCTAAAGACAACAAATGAACCTCATTAAACTCATCATACACTTTAAACACTCTTTAAACAAAAATAACTCCATCAACAAAGAAACACACTGACTGAGAGGCGTCTCCTGAACGCAGCACGGGGCGTTTAAAGCTCTGAGGCCAGGTGTACCTCGCTGAGTAATCAGAAGCTTCACCTGGGCAGAGGTACGGACTACAGGAGGGGAGAAGGGACAAACAGCACATGACAACAAACAGCCCTAACACATCTGAATCATATTGACCCAGATATGGGGGCGCTGGTGGTCCAGTGGTTAGTGTACAGAGGTTACAGTCCTCCAAGTGGACAGCCTGGGTTCAAATCCGACCTGTTGCTCCTTTCCAGCATGTACTCTCGATTTCAGACTCAACCCACCGTCCTGTCTCGACTATGAATGCATGAAAGCCCAAATATTAAAGGTGCAGTCAGCAGCATTTTGACTTGCAGCTTGTAAACTCAACATTCAAACGGGCTCATCGACCCCAGGAAGCTCGCACTCCCTGCAGGGCGTAGCGTGTTCGTTTACTGCGTGTATCTACCTAATTTCAGAGGTAAGATAACAAAGGAAACATCGTCATTATCTGAGGCTGCTCAGCGTCATATTTCTGTCAGAAGTCAGTAACTCGACCTGGGAGCAGACCTCCCTGAAAAGAAGGAACTTGATCCCCGTCATCGATATGATACAGTACGTACAGACTCCACTGTGAGTCCCCCCCCCCCCGAAACATCCGCCCCACTGACCCTTTCTACTGTAACACAAGCACCTCGTCAAATATCCTCCACCTCAGCCTCCGGAGCGAGGAGGAGAAGAAAGGCTGCGATTGTGGAGGAAAGCCCTCGGCCTCTGCAGGACGGGGATTAAATGTTAGGTAACTGTGTTAGAGAGGACAGGATTAGATTAGAGAGAGAGGAGGAGGAGGAGGAGGGGGGGAGGAGGAAGAAGAGGAGGAGGAAGAGGAGGAGGGAGGAAGAAGAGCAGGAGGAGGAAGAAGAGGAGGAGGAGGAGGAGGAGGAGGAAGAGGAGGAAGAAGAGGAGGAGGAGGAGGAGGAGAGGAAGAAGAGGAGGAGGAGGAGGAAGAAGAGGAGGAGGAGGAGGAGAAAGAAGAGGAGGAAGAAGAGGAGGAGGAGGAAGAGAAGAAGAGGAGGAGGAGGAGGAGGGGAGGGGAGGAGGAAGAAGAGGAGGAGGAAGAGGGGGAGGGAGGAAGAGGAAGAGGAGGAAGAAGAGCAGGAGGAGGAGGAGGAGGAGGAAGAAGAGGAGGAGGAGGAGAAAGAAGAGGAGGAGGAGGAAGAAGAAGAGGAGAGGAGGAGGGAGGAAGAGGAAGAGGAGGAAGAAGAGCAGGAGGAGGAGGAGGGGAGGAAGAAGAGGAGGAGGAGGAGAAAGAAGAGGAGGAGGAAGAGGAGGGAGGAAGAGGAAGAGGAGGAAGAAGAGCAGGAGGAGGAGGAGGAGGAAGAAGAGGAGGAGGAGGAGAAAGAAGAGGAGGAGGAGGAAGAAGAAGAGGAGGAGGGGGAGGAGAAAGAGGAAGAGGAGGAAGAAGAGGAAGAGGAGGAGGAAGACGAAGAGGAGGAAGAGGAAGAGGACTGCCTCTCAGGACACTCACACACAAAGAGGTTTTAAGAAGGTCTGTGATGAACAGACGATGAGTTCCTCTTAAAGTTAGTTCCTTAAAGACGATGACACGGCGTGTCTTTGAGTCGTCCTCGTTCGAGACGTTTACAGAGACTGAACATGAGGACACTCCTCCAGTGAACACAAATCTGACTCCACTCTCCACTGAGGACGATGTGAGAGTGAGGACGATGTGAGAGTGAGGACGATGTGAGAGTGAGGACGGTGTGAGAGTGAGGACGATGTGAGAGTGAGGACGGTGTGAGAGTGAGGACGATGTGAGAGTGAGGACGGTGTGAGAGTGAGGACGACGTGAGAGTGAGGACGACGTGAGAGTGAGGACGACGTGAGAGTGAGGACGGTGTGAGAGTGAGGACGACGTGAGAGTGAGGACGACGTGAGAGTGAGGACGGTGTGAGAGTGAGGACGGTGTGAGAGTGAGGACGGTGTGAGAGTGAGGACGGCGTGAGAGTGAGGACGGCGTGAGAGTGAGGACGGTGTGAGAGTGAGGACGACGTGAGAGTGAGGACGACGTGAGAGTGAGGACGACGTGAGAGTGAGGACGACGTGAGAGTGAGGACGACGTGAGAGTGAGGACGATGTGAGAGTGAGGACGGATGTGAGAGTGAGGACGGTGTGAGAGTGAGGACGGTGTGAGAGTGAGGACGACGTGAGAGTGAGGACGACGTGAGAGTGAGGACGATGTGAGAGTGAGGACGGTGTGAGAGTGAGGACGACGTGAGAGTGAGGACGGTGTGAGAGTGAGGACGACGTGAAGTGAGGACGGTCGTGAGAGTGGCTGCGACACGGGAGCACGCCGGGAGGGCTCGGGTCGGTCGGGGTCAGGACTGCTCGAGGAAGGACCCCTTACACCTCTCCAGCTACCAGACCGACTTCTATATTCTGATCCGCACCGGGACTTGAACCTCCAGCTCCCAAACCAAGTCCCTACAGACTGTTATCAAAGATCTTTAATGAAGACAAGATGGTCACTCGACTGGTGTTGATGCATCTCTGGAAAATGATGCTGCTTGTTGTAATCTGTGCAGCACACTCTCACCTCTAGTTTTCATCTTAGGCACGATTGCTCCCCCCTCCCCTTCCCCCTCCTCCTCCCTTCTCCCTTCTCCCCCCTCCCCCCTCCCCTCCCCCCCTCCCCCTCCCTCCCCTCTCCCCCTCCCAACTGTTGATGTTTCTGTTTTTTCTGAGATGCTAACAACGTCCCTCTTCGTACGTCCACATCTACCCTGCAGCTCAGAGGATGAGGACTCGAGCCCAGTACCCGGGTAAAGTACGTTTGTGCACACTCTGATCAAATGAAAGTCATCAAAGTGTTCTCTGTTCCTGGCCCGAATCCCTCGTGTGACACACACACACACACACACACACACACACACACACACACACACACACACACACACACACACACACACACACACACACACACCAGTGTGACTCACTGACACCTGCACTAACACGAGTCTGTGACCGTGAGGAGTCCTGAGGTGAATAATCGTGCGTGCAGAGAGGAAGAAGTGAAACTGGTGAAAAGAGCAAGTCATCCTGTGAAAGTCGACTTGTGCCAACGTCTGAGGTGTCGTGTTACATAATCGATCTGAATATCTGAATATAAGTGTTACATCATCTCTTCTATTTACTGAACTTAAAGTGCGTCTCTCACATCGTTCAACTCTTTGGATAACATCTGCTGTCGATGCTTTGTTTACATACAATCTGCTCTATTTCTTACTTTCATTATCATCTATTTACACATGTTTGTTTGTGTTTTATCTTACTTATAATCACTTTTCTTCACGTTTTACATCTTCATGATCATGTATTACATTCTCTAACGCTCAAATCTCCCCCTCGTTGATGATTTAAATGCATCTTTACAGGTTTTAAAATGAAGGATGGCTTTATTTGACGTTTAAAACAAGAATTGATCTTCCTCTTTTATTTATTATTATTATTATTGATTTACTGAGTGATTTAATCATTTTAATGTAACTTAACTAGTTTGAAATGTCAGTAAATAGAATCAAAGTAATCATGACTATCTGTCCATGTCTTTAGTTTGAAGATTCTGATAAAAATGTTGTGTATTTGGTGGAAAACACCTTTTCAGGACTCTAACACACACTGCTCATCACTTTCGATCTTTAAACTCTAGATCACTCGCGAACCCCACCCAGAAAGATCCCCCTTGAACACAACACAACAAACCGCATCATGTAACGGTCCTCTGCCGCCTCTCCGTCACCCTCCTCCCGCCCCCGCCTGCCGGTCCCCCCCCCCCCCCTCACCTCCAGCAGCGGCAGGTCCGGGTCCAGGTGTGTGAAGCTGTGGAGGACCACCGGGCTCCGGTCCTGCTCCAGCTCCAGCCTCACCCCGTCCCATATGCTCCGAACCTTCCACGACGAGTCGAACATGTCGAGCAGCTGGCCCGGCCTGACGCTGTGCGCCTCCGTTTGCATCCCCGGGAGATGATAGACCATGGAGCCGCGGATCCGGTGTTCAGTCACAGCGACCGGAAACACATTTGATTATTTTACCGTTATTTCTTATTCCGTGTTTTCAAAGCGGAGTGTCGGTGCTGCGGCGGCGGCTCTGCTGTCTGAAGCGCTCAGGAGAATCATGACTCACACTGGGGCTTTTCTAAGCCACGCCCACTAAACAGTGCTGCCTTCAGGGTAATCGGAAATACTAATGACGAAGGAATCAATCACCGGTTCAATAACACTGTTTATACTTAGTGATGGATTATAAAGCAGCGGGGGTCGAGTCACCAAGAGGGGGAGTAGCCAGATGTTTATAAAATCATTTAAAATTTTATATTTCGCCCATTGTTGTAAAATTATATACAAAAAATAGCTCAATTTTGAATAAAACCCGACCATTAAGTGAAATTAAAATGAAATGATTGTGTAAATTACATTTCGCTTGACGATTTATATGTTCTCACCAGACATCAATACATTTATATCTTTTTTACCCTAACCCTTATATAGAATAAAGCTATTTTTAAATCAATATCCATCAACATATTTGTTTTCCTCTTCTTGTAAATCAAATTATTTAGATGTTTTAATTAAACAGAAAACACCTGATGTGAAAATCCGCCTCATGACATTTACAGAAGTCAAAGGACGAAGCATCGACCACACCGAGTGAGGGGAGGAACTCACATTACAAATCTACGAGGGGTCCCTGAAGGCGGCGCTATGATGTCACGCCTGTGTGGGGAAATGATGGCGTCGTGTTGTTTTTGTTCTCACTATGGCAGCAGGCTGATGTGTACTTCACTGACCCTGCTGTCAGCTGAAAGTACACATGAACACTTTATAGGAGAAGAAGAAGAACTACAGCCACTTCCTGTTACAGAGTCTTCTTCTCTTAATACAACTCGACCACATTTAAGGCGACAGGATTCATTAAACTGCATTTAATGACTACTCTCATTTAACGGATGGAGTTAAATCAGTGAGGTTTCTTATTGGTTGAATTGTTATGTCTTGTAGTTGACAGTTGTCTGCAGATTTGGCCGATATGAGAAAAAATAGACTTTATTGGTGGTAACGATCTGAATTTGGAAAAATAAAGAGTGCATATTAGCCATAAAACACAATCCCATTTCAGAGTGCAACAGGATCCTGTTTGTGAAAGTGTGTGTGTTTCAGCTTGTGTGTGTGGCATGACTCAACAACTGAGTCTAAAACAAGTGAATAACAAATCCAAGAGCATCATAAACCAACAAAGAAGCAGTCAAACTAAACAAACAAACAACAACATCCACTGAGCACAGAAAGCAACATGTTGTCATTAAAGGACAGAAATCTGACCACAAACACCCTCAGTGTCTGTTTTCTGCAGCTGTAAATAAGACAACAGTTCAGAAGCCTCCTGACTCAACAGCCAACGCTGCCCCCTGCTGGCTGAAAACAGGAACTGCTGTCCTCCCCTGCTCACTAAGAAGTTTATCATCTTAAAAAGACGCCTGCCAAGCTTTCAACGTGATTAAAGACTCAAATTAATTCAGGCCGTCTTAAAGGAGAAGAGCGAGTGTAAACAACACAAGTGAACACCACGGCGTCCGGGCGTCTGCAGCCCGTGTCTCAGATGATTAACAGATAACTTTAATGAACGTTAATGTCACAAAACAAGACAACACAGTGTAATCAGTGACAGCAGGAACAGGTGTGAAAGCGCCTTAGACAATTAAACAGAAACATCTGCTGCTCCAGCTGAGGCTGAATCCAAAACCACAAACACGTCTGACCTCAGCGGCCTCTCTCATCCAGGACGCCAAGCTGCTGCTGCTGCCTCTGCCACCACGCTAAAACCTGCAGCTGCTGGAGAACAAAACACACCGTGTGAGAGAGAGAGAGAGGGACAGAGAGAGAGAAACAACAGACGGTGTGTTTGTCTGCGTGTCAGTGGGAACATATCCACTCCTTTATTCATTTAAACAGGAGTAAACTGAGTTTGTTTTGGACGACTTCCTGTGGTGGATTAATCCACATTTGGTGCTCCAGTGAGTTTTTGACCCAGCAGGAGGGAGTGGTTGAGATTAAGAAAAACGCTCTGAGTCTGTAACGTTTCTCATATCTGACAAACTGAGGGGCGTCCAAAACAGCCATGTGTGGGGGGTTCGTCTTAAAAGCGCCTACCTTCTCTGGTCCAAACAAATCCAGAGCATTCAGGAGCAGAATCTAAAGTTAGAAGGAGGACATACTGGCTGCTGCATTGTTGTCAGAGAAGCCAGCACTTCAACATGTTTCCTTAATGATCAGAGAGTAAGATACCTTTATCATCTCACTGATTGGACCTTTAAGGAGAACAGAGATCACAGAATGTAACTTAAGGAGACAAAAACATCATCTCTGGTATCCGTTTTCCACAGAAACCTGTGTGGGAAGAAACACAGCAACGTGGTCCAACTTTTAGTCTGCTGAGATTTAACTAAAGCTCTGCTTCCATCTGCTGGAAATCAATACCAGGATGTTGTTCTGCTGCTGGCTGCTGCTCCGGCATGTTTTACTGTTCCCACAGGAGAGAGACGCTAACAGCCTCCTTTACTTTCCTACTCTACGCTCTGTCTCTAAAACACACACAAAGACACTCAGACAAACGCACATAAGGACGCTGAACACACCGAGGACGACTAAAGAACACGACGAGGTCAGGATGGTCAACAACATCCTGCAGCATGTTTCCATAATGATGAGAACAAACTTTACAGTGTCCACACCGAGGGGACCCTTTAGTCCAGATTAGTCGTCATGATAACAGGATTTTAAACTTTGATATGATTCTATTATAAACTTGATGTGCTGGACTTCTGCTTAGCTAGCTTCTTATTCTGTATTATTTAAGTTGTTGCTAGTTCTGTTTTATTTCCTTGTTAATTGTTTAGCACCAACACACCAAGTCAAATTCCTTGTATGTGTAAATGTACTTGGCAATAAACCCAGATTCTGATTCTGATTCTGATTCTGATTCTGTTCCCTTGGCGTCAAAATGAGCATCGATATTGTTAGATTTTTTAACTAGAATCAAATCAAGGTTTTACATTCTGGTATAAACCACCAACAGGATCCCTCGTGCACAGCCAGCCTACGTTCTCAGGAGGGGGTCAGTTGTAGGAACATGCAGTAAAAACATCAATGACTTCACTGTGAGCCAACAACACGTTTCACCCTCAGCTCCCTGGTACGGTGACCTCCCTACTCTGAAGTCTTCACAAAGTTTCTGAAAAGTTGTTGTTCTTCTGTCAGAAAGCCATTAAGCGACGCCCCCCCCCCCCACACGGCCCCCCCTCGGTGGCAGTGTTGGCGGCCTGTATAGCCGCAATGGGCAGCTGCCAGAAGCACAATGTTCCCCCGGAGCTCCTCAAACAACAAATCTGAAACAAATAAAAGCCAGAGGCCGAGCCAGACGTGGACAGAGTTACATAAGAGAGAGAAAATAACAGGCTAATAAAAAGCAGAATCCTCTCATTATAAATCATGGACCTCCAGATTAAAGCCTGATGAGCCTTTTGAAGACACAACAGAGGAGGGATTTATTTGAACATCCTCAGAGCTCAAACTTTCCTCCTATGATCGGCCAAAGTCTTTGTTTGTTTGTTTGTTTCTTTGTTTGTTTGTTTTTGTGGGCTGAATATCGGGGTAGTCCTTGAATCTTGAAAAAAGAAAGCTTGTCCTCTTTCCACCTTCTGGTCACCTGAGAAAGGAGAGCGCCCATCAACATGAGTGACAGTTGTCATGGTAACAGAGCCTGACAGACTGAGTGGGAGGACAGCGGTACAAACAGAACGTCTCATGATTCTTGGACATAAGAGGGTCTTTCTACATTTCTCTGAAGCCCGGAGTGTGACTCGGCCCCCTCTGATTGGACGACAGCTCACAGGAGGAGAGAGGCTCACATCAGATGCTCGCTGAGACAATCAGAGTGGAGCGTTAAGTTCCCCCTGTCGTCTCAGCGTGACGGTCTCGTAACAGAATCCGACAGCCGAGCGAGGTCGGGACTCTGCGATGTTTCATGTCACTGTAATGAAGCTCGATGGGAGCAGATGAGAGTCTGAGACGCTTCTGCTGTCTGTTTCCAAACACACACTCAGCCAGTGGTGAAGCAGGACTCTGATTACACCAGCTCTGTGTCACGTTTCACACAAACTCTGGACTTTTCCGGGGGGGGGGGGGGGGGGTTACTAGTCTGGAAAGTGAAATGAAGAAGTCTTTCATTTGTTCTTATTGTAACATTTACACAACATCATTTACTTCTTCCCCTTCCACATTTGAGAGCAACATGTCATAACAAATTTGCCTTCTCTGTGGGGGGGGGGGGGGGGGGGGGGACGCCTTCCATAAAAATTTAAAAAACTTTTAGAAGTGCATGAGTATATCTTTTTACTCATTCTTGTAAATATACATAAAATTAGTCCAATGTCATATAAGACGTAGTATCATTAAAGGTCCCATATTCTTCTTCTTCTGGTTTTATCTGCTCTTTAGTGTGTTTTCTAAGTGTCCTGTGCATGTTTAGACACATCTATGTGCAAAAATTCAAAGTCCACGGAAACGCAGCTTCTCCTACGTCCTCCTGTTAGCTGTAGCATTAGCTGCACGTAACGCTCGGTTCTAGCCCCCCTCCATAAAAATGTGTCAGTGCGGCGTCATGTCAGTGTGAGATCACTGATCTAAGCCCATTGGCTCGTTGTGGCCCTGCAGCTCATGTTGCACGCCCATTAACTTCTGTAGCACGCCCACGATATGCCGTAGCCTGCGGTAGCACAGTAGTGCTAAGGTGCTAATGTTTATGCTCCCCTCGGAGGCAAAGTGGCTGCATTCCCAATATGGTAAAAGGGGCGGGACATTTCCGAGAACCGTGCTGAGCAACTGACCAATAACGACAGAGCGGATCGGCAGACCAATCAGAGCAGACTTGACCCACGTGGGGTCTAACAGTGTGGGCTCAACAGAGTGTAGCTGACGGACTCAGAGCGTAGAGGGAGCAAGGAGGAGCAGTTCATGAAAACAGACACTTTTTAAAAACTTTATCTATTGTGAACGTACAAAAGTAGGAACATAGATTAAATATATGAACCCCAAAAAGGGCAGAATATGAGCTCTTTAAAGGCTTTATATATGATGTTTTGATCCAGCAGATGTCGCCCTTGAGCACCAGCATGAAACCAAAACAACTCACGCTGCATTGTTGTGTTAGCATGCTAATGCTAGCGATCTTTATTATGCTCGTATCTTCACACTGCATGTAAATTTACCTGAAATGAGCGTGATCTAGAAACACAGTTAAGCAGTGAGTACAGTATGTTATTCTTCTTTTCTCTAGTCCCTCAATTAAACTACTT